ATAGCACTGAAACTCCATAATTAAATTATCCATAATTTCACCCTACAAAATCATCAGATAGCCTCATTTTACATAGTGCTTTACAATTTTAAAAGCATTTTCACATATTCTGGCACCTCATTTAATCCTGACATAAGGTATATGAATAGGACAGACATTTTGGTTCCCATTAACAGGTAAAAAAGTTACGGTTATCTTTTGACTTAAATCAGCTCTTTTCATTGTAGCGTATCAGTATAGTATATATAGTGTATACTATATTATACTATATTATTTTAAATCTCTTCTAAGAAAGCCGTGTTTCAAATCAAAGAAAATACATAGCTTCCGTTTCCTATTAACATTCTAATATTTTCAGAATTCACTAAATTAAAGTGAATTGTTGGGGTAGCCAGCCTCTAAGATAGCCCCAATGATCCCAGTCTCCTGGTATTCACACCCATGTACATGAATAAATACTCCTCCTTCCCTGCTGAGTGTGGGCTAGACTTAGTGACTCCCTTCTAATGAACAGAATAAGATACAACTGGAGAACAGGTCATAAAAAGCAGGGTGACTTCATTCTTTTTCTCTCTATGGAGAGGCACACATGACCAGGAAGTGAAGCCACCTACTAACAGTCACGTGAGTGAGCTTGAAAGTGGATGCCTCAGCTCCAGTCATCTTCAGAGACTGCACAGCCCCCGGCCTGAGCCAGTGACTGAAACTCTATCTCGAATGTGGATAGTGTTGGCATGGATGTATACGTTTGTCAAAACTCAAATCTATATATACAATTAAAAGGGGTGCATTCTATTGTATGGAAAGTATACATCGCTAAAGCTGATTTTTTTTTTTTTTTAATTTTTTTTTTTTTCAACGTTTATTTATTTTTGGGACAGAAAGAGACAGAGCATGAACGGGGGAGGGGCAGAGAGAGAGGGAGACACAGAATCGGAAACAGGCTCCAGGCTCTGAGCCATCAGCCCAGAGCCTGACGCGGGGCTCGAACTCACGGACCGCGAGATCGTGACCTGGCTGAAGTCGGACGCTTAACCGACTGCGCCACCCAGGCGCCCCAAAGCTGATTGTTTTTAACAGATCACTGAATCCTTGGGATAAGCAAATGAAGGGTCACTTATGAAAAAGCTGTGCCATAACTTAGTAAGTAAAGGGTGGGTGGTAAGAAAATAAGTGCATTAACAAGTGACCACCACAAACACACATGTCCTAAACTGCTCCTCAAAATTGCTCTACCCACAGCCTTTCCTATCTCAGATGGCAGCAATCCCATTCTCCCAGTTGCTCTTGCCAAAAACGCTGGAGTCCTTCTTGACTCTCACATCACACATACATTCAGACTATGATCACTTCTCACCACCTCCACTGCTGCTACTCTAGCCTCTCGCCAAGATCACTGCAACAGCCAAAATGGTCTCCCTGCCTCACTCCTGCCCCTCTAAAGTCTATTAACTTAGATCCTTTCAAAACCTAAGGCAGATCCCATTGTTCATCTGCTCAAAAATCTGAAACCGCTCCCCCATTTCATTCAGAATAAAAGTCCATGTTGTTTCAAGGTCACATAAACTGACTCCTTGTTATCTCCCTGACCTCATCTCCTATTACCCTCCTCCTTGCACAGTCTACTCCGGGCACACTGGGTTGTCTGCTGTTTATCAAACACATGCTCCCACTCTACGACCCTTACAGTGGGTGTCTCCTCTGTCTTGAATATCTTTCCCCTGATACCTGCATGGCTCATCATTCCCTAACCTCCTTCAGGTCTCTGCTCAAATATATGACTTTCTTTATCCAGATCATTCCATTTAACATTCTCATTGATCATCCTTATTCTATTCGACTTTTCCTTTTTTTCCAGAACACTAACCACTTTGTGACATATTATATAACTTACTTATTACGTATACTGTCTATTCTCCACTCCTTCCATAAAACAACCCCCAGGGCAGGATCTTTATTTTGTTCATTGATGCATCTCAAGCGCCTAGGACAGTGCCTAGTATACACAACAGATGTAAAACAAGTACGTTCTGAATGAATGAATGAACTCTGTCAGGTACCGGGCTAAGTACTTTATATACACTATTTCATTTAATCACTAGGGCAACCTTGGGAAGTACGCATTAACCTCATGTTATAATTGAGGACCATAAAGGTTAAATAAATTGTGCAAAGATACACATTTCTAAATGAAGCCAGGACTTAACTCCTCAAGTATGCCTAACTCCAAAGCCTTGACCATAGTTTTCTCAAAGTTGGGTGTGAATGGGAAGAGAACTAAGCTGCTTGAGGAGGTGACTAGGCTGAGAATTTGTAGAAGACACTGATCTGTGATCCAATATAAAAAGCAGAGGCTGGGGCGCCTGAGTGGCGCAGTCGGTTAAGCGTCCGACTTCAGCCAGGTCACGATCTCGCGGTCCGTGAGTTCGAGCCCCGCGTCAGGCTCTGGGCTGATGGCTCAGAGCCTGGAGCCTGTTTCCGATTCTGTGTCTCCCTCTCTCTCTGACCCTCCCCCATTCATGCTCTGTCTCTCTCTGTCCCAAAAATAAATAAACGTTGAAAAAAAAATTAAAAAAAAAAAAAA